ATTTAAAATTTTCAAAGGTCATATTTTAGTCAACTATTTTAAGGAACAAAAAATATATCTAGTCAAGATTTATCTGAGAATATTTGGTTTTTTACCCAAGCTTTATCTAAAAGTAGCAGACTGGTGGAACTGACCCTACTGGATGTTTAACAGCCATAGTTTGAGGCCTACACTAATGTGGTCAGAGGGACCATACTGGTTTTTGTCCGTCTGTCCACAGCATTAATAACTCTTTGAATAAACTCCACACACAACAATCCTTCAGTGTACCCTTGAAGCCCCCATCTGAGATATTTAAGAAGTGATGGTGTGTAATTAGAGCAGTGATGAGCATGGAACAGGGAAAGTGACTCCTTGTTAGTTATGACCCCATGGGTGGCTGCCAAAGCAAGCACCTATCTCAGTTCTGATTTAGGCTTTCTACCATTGTGTAAGTCTATCTCACCTATTTGATTGGAGGCACAATTGCTAAGAGACGATGCCCTACTTTACACGTGTATTTCTCAGGCAGGCAGTCAAACCTCAATGAATGCACGAACAGTGGGTACAGGTTACAGTTCAAATGATCGTTAACTCTGATAGGTCTATTTATGTTGCTTTTTTTTAATTGATTAAAATCATTTTATTTTTGTTTTTTGAGATAGGCTCTCCCTATATCCCTGGCTGGCCTGGAATTCACTAAGTAGACCAGGCTGACCTCATTCTCACATAGATCCACCTGCCTGCCTCTGTCTCTCAAGTGCTGGGATTAAAGGTGTATGCCACCACAACTAGCTTTTGTTTTGGTGGTCTTTTTTGAAACAAGGTCTCCCTATAGCCCCAGCTGGCCTGGAACTCTCTATGTAGAGCAGGCTGACCTTGATCTCACAGAGATCTGCCTGCCTCTGCCTCCTGAGTGCTGAGATTAAAGGTGTGTGCCACCACACCCAGCCAGCACTTGAGAATTTTTCAAAATATTCCTATTTGTTAATTCATTTCTCATGACAGCAATGGGTACTGTGTTATTACTTCCCTTTTACAAATAAGAAAATGGGCTCAGAAAAATCAAATTATTTAAGTTAATTTGGATCTGTTGCTCTTCTAGTTTTATCATGAGATTTGAACACAAATTTGTCCCAAGTCCTCCTTTCCCCTCATCTCCCAAAAATCTTACCACTGTCCTCTGACAGATGAATAAAGAAGGTAGCTACAAATTCCTGGCAAAGGCACTTCACAGATGAACTGCATCGTTTTTCTAAAGCTTCTTCTTGGCATGATTCCATTCATAAAAATCAGTTTTCATGCCAGGCATGGTGGCGCACGCCTTTAATCCCAGCCTTGGGAGGCAGAGGCAGGCAGATCTTTGTGAGTTCAAGGCCAGCCTGGTCTACATAGTGAGTTCCAGGACAGCTGGGGCTACAGAGAGCCCCTGCC